TAACAACATCACCCCAGTAGCCAAATAATTATTTGGAATCCAAAATTATTGACTGAACCATAGCAATTCTTAGTTGAGGATATAATGTGCATCTCAACTATTGTAATAAACTCCGACTATGAAATAATTTTAAGTATTTGGCTTGTTTGTTTTACTCTTCAAGCATTCAGTGTTAGGTACTTCGGCAAGCATTTGTGGTAGTCATTAAAACACTTTGATCAGTGTTTACAAAGTGTTTCTTTTTAGACTAGAAGTCATAGGTTTATTGTTGTGGTTATTAAGTTGTTAATGATTTCTGTATAACTAGTAGCTTTTAATACCAGAATCTATTGAAATTACTGAAGTAAGTATGTATGTGTATGTTTTACATATTTTGGAGTTATTTAGTTCATTACATCAGAGATTTATTTTTCAACTGAAGGAAGCTTAACTATTTTTCTTAATTAAGGATATATAGAGCACTGACCTGCAGAGCAGCAGTTTGAAATAACCTGAATCTTTCAGATACAGGTTAAATAAAGGTTGTGCTTTATACAATGTTCTAATCCTAATTAAAGGTCTTTGATAACTATGGGATTAAGGTAAAGGTTTCTGTTAATATGTATGTTTGGGAAGGAGGTAGTGAGTTCATTAGAAGGAAAACTGTCTTTGAAGAAAAATTAACAGTTAGCTAAAATTCTCATTGTATATATGTGATCATTATATTTTACAGACTCCAGGCATTAGAGCTCGCCCTGCAAGACTTCAGTGGTTTTGTGATAGGTGCATTTCAAATAATCAGGTTTGTGTATAATTTCTGACACTTTGCATGAGTGTTTGGGGACTTCAGGGAATGTAGCATTATGGAAACAGTGCTGTCTTGGTTGTTCTCCAAATAGATAACTAGCTTTAGCTGTTGTTCCTGAGGTTTAGTAGAATTTCTGAAAATTTTCATCTGGGCCCTCCTGAAGATTTTTAGCTTACTTTATCCTACTTGTTGTTTTTGGCAAACAGAGCTTGTTTTGTAGCAATTTAAAACCGCATCACTCCTTAATGACTGAAATTGTTGGTTGGCGGAGGAAGCCCAGTGGACTTTCCACTTAGTCGTTCCTTCAATGCTGTGTCCATCCACTTCATGTCCAGTGAAAGCCATGGGGTGGGGAGTACAGGCATACTTCAGAGATACTGCAGATTCCCTTCCAGGCTAATGAGATAAAGCAAGTCACACAGGTTTTCTGGTTTCCCGGTACATATAAAAGTTATGTTTATACTGCACTGTAATCTGTGAAGTGTGCAATCATGGCATTATGAAAAGTTTGAAATACGGTAAGAATTACCAAAATGTGACACAGAAATCCAAAGTGAACACATGCTGTTGGAAAAATGGCATGGCTAGACTAACTAGATGCAGGATTGCCGCAAACCTTCGATTTGTAAACAATGCAATATCTGCACAGTACACTGTAAAGCAGTGTGAGAGACAAAGTATGCCTGTATGATGTTTGGGTGGAGATGTATTTCTTTAATAGAGGAGATGCTTATTGAGTTCACCTCATCTGAATCTTCTCCCCAAATAGCTTTCTTTGCATTCTTCTCAGTACACCTTCTTGCAGGGTCCTTTGACTGAATAGTTGCTCGTATGAACTCCAAAGGGTCCTTCAGCCCTCTAATGTTTGAAGTAAAATTTAATGTACCCTTGGTTAAAGCTAGTTTGAAACATTGTTCAACTAAGGTTTGTCAGCTACAAAGAAAATATGATCTAAGTCCATCTATTAATTTTATTTTTAAGGTTGAAACCCTGGAAAAATTAGTGGAACTGACACAGAAACTGTTTGAGTGTGATAGAGACCAGCTATACTACAATCTGTTAAAACTATATAGTAAGTGATCTGACTATTCTTCATGTTTTCAAGGGCATTTATTGAGTTGAAGCCACTTGTAAGAATGAAGGCTTTTGCTTAAAAGTTTCTGAAACTGTCATATGCTGGGTCTTCAACAGAGGTTCAAGGGGAGGCCAGATTGCGTTTTATCACAAAATATTGTTATATGATATCATGTTGTACAGTCTTCATAATTTCTGGTCTTTTTCTACAGTAATTAGAAGTTAAGAAAAACTCTTATCAGAGTCAAATAATTTAAAAAGAGGTCTTAGAGACTTTTTCCTTCTTTTTATTTAAATCTGGAAATAGATTTATTAATCAGTTCTGTAAAGAGTCATCATTATTTTCATGTGTGTAGTTCTTTTTCCAGAAAAGTACATATCTATATACAACTACATTACTAAACACTTTTATTTTTCTTAAATGTGACTGTATAATAGTTTGACTTCAGTGATATACTACAATAGCTTTTCTACATTTTATCATCTATAAAGGAGCTCTGGTAGCGTAGTGGTTGCGTATCGGGCTGCGAACCTAAAGGTCAGCAGTTCTAAACTACTAGCCGTTCCATGGGAGAAAGATGAGGCTTTCTGCTCCCATAAATATTTACAGCCTCGGAAACCCTATACAGGGTTGCTATGAGTCGGAACCGACTCCATGGCACATAACAACATCAACAACAAATGACTAATTAATACATTGAATGTGTATACTAGAATTTACACAACCAATTTCTTATTGTTGGACATTGAATAGCTTTCAGTTTTTCATGTTTCAAAGCAACACTGCATTATGAATCTTTGTTCAAACCCTTGTTTCTGTAGGTCAAAGTCCTAGTGTTTTTATTAGTGTCTAAAAGTGATAGATATTTCTAAACTTTTGATCTCTATTATCAAACATTGTTTTAATAAGTTTATACTAGTTTGCACACTTATAGGCTTTATCTACATTGTGTCTTTTCGGATATTTGATTAGAGGAGGATGGATTCTTAAGACAGCAATGACCTTTTCCTTTGTAGATATTTGATCTTGAGTCATTGTTCTTTTTCTTGTGAGAGAATTTCCTTCAACAAATATTGACAGCATTGAACAAGTGAGCTTATTTTGTCTTTTTGAACTTGTGTTTATTTTAAGCTTTATTTTGGCATGTGTATGTTGTTGGTGTAGGTATACATCATGCCCGATTTAAAATATACATACCAATTATTAGTTCATTGAAGTGCGAACTCCATAATCTTAGTCTTTTAAAAACTTTGTCTTGAATTGTGATTAATGTTTTGCACACATTGTTGATTCTTCATTTTAAAGAACTGTTTCATGCTTATCTATTATGAAAATATACACAAAAAACTTACAGCATTTCAGTGACGCTGATTACAGAATCAAATTCTGCAACGATTCTGTCTTTTAACAAATTATCTCACCACCATTTACATACATTCAGTGCATCCTGAGCAAAAACTCCTTCTGTATCCCTTTAGATACCGATCTTATGCAAACCAAAAAAACCCCAGAATTATCTGAATTTCATATACAAAGGAGTCTCAGTATTTAAAGTGTCCTTGTCATTGTTAAGTTCCATGGAGTTTTGTTCCGTGGAGTCAGTTCCTAGCATTTCCAAGGAGCAACTGATGGGTTTGAACCACTGACCTGTGGTTAGCAGTCCAGTGCTTATGCTACAGTGCTGTACCAGAACTAACTCCTTAGAAGACTTTATGAACCTTTACCCTTAGAAACGTATGCAAGACTATTTAAAGCCTTTACTCTGGCAGCCCTTGTGGTAGGTACCACAAATAAGAGGTAGTAGACTAATGAAAGAACACATAACCCAGAACTGCAGTAAAAAGGGTCTAGAAACATGTAGGTTGTGTTACCGTTCAGAAAAGGGAGAGAGATGGCCAGCCTCACACATTTCTTTTTACTTTGCAGATGAACTTTTTTTTTTTTTTTTTTTTAAATAAGAAAAGAGAAAAACAACTTTTAGGTACATCTTAAAATTTCCCTTAGGGATAAGTAGTCTGTGTTTTAATACCATTTTTTTCTCTCCTTATTCCCTCTATCTGCTCTTTGGAGCAAAAAAGAAAAAAATATTGTCATGTCAACCTCAACTCATAACGACCCCATGTGTGTCAGAATAAAATGTGCTCCACCGACTTTTCAGTAGCTGATGGTTTATTAGCAGATCACCAATCAGCTGATTAACAACCAGGGAGTCCAAGGCGCCTGTGGGAGCAGTTGAATCTCCAACTTTTCCATTTGCAGCCAAGCACAATAGCCTTTTGTATCACCAGAGACTCTATTACATGACTTATAAACACTATGTTGTTCTTAAAGTATCTTCAAGTCATTTCTTCTGAGGAGTGTCTGGTGGTTTTGAACCACTGATCTGAGGTTAGCAATCCAGTGCTTAAGCCTGGAGCACCACACCAGGACTAAAGAAACAAGTGGTATATAATGATGTGTGAGATCTTTTACATTGGAAAATCCATATATTGGATTATGGATTTCTGAAAAAATAATATTTGGCCTACCTGAATTTTATGACTTGTTTTTTTTATAATGTAATTGTAGCCCATGAAAGGTTTGAATTAATTATTTTTAATTTTTTTTTGTTTTTTAAGAACTATTTCTCTTAGCTTTTATGTTAAAACTTACTTAATTTTATTGTGAGTTACACTATACTTCAGAAATGTACAAAAAACAAAAATACATAATTCAGTGGTTTATCAAAATTAATCCCCATGTAACTATCACTTGGAGTCCTGGTGTAGTGCTTTGGTTCAATGCGCTGGATTGCAAGGTTGGTTTGAACTGCAAGGTCAGTGGTTCATATCTGAGGAGCAGCTGGTGGGTTTGAACTACTGACCTTGTGGTGTGACGCTATGGATCAGCATTAGACTGTAAACCACAAGGTTGGCAGTTCACACACACTTCCTGCTCCTTGGAAGACCTATATATACAGGGTTGCTCTGAGTCGGAACTGACTCGGAGGCATTTAACAACAACATAACAACAAGACAATCTAGACTTACACTGTATAACTTCTTTCCCAGACCTGGAATCCTCATTTTAGAAAGGAATGATGTTCAGAGATCACAATCAACTGATTAACAAATGGGAAGCTGGAAGATTGCCTCGTTTATATGTATCAGTAATGTGTTAATCAGCTTTTCAATGAAAATTTTGAGCTAGGAATCTTCATCTAAAACCATGCTGTCACGTCGATTCTAACTCATGATGACTATAGAGTATAGAGTAAAACTTCCCCAGAGGGTCTCCAAAGCTGTAATCTTTATGGAAGCAGAATGCCACATCTTTTTCCTGAAGAGCAGCTGGTGGGTCCAAACCCCCGACCTTCTAGTTAGCAGCAGAGCGTTTAACTGCTGCACCCCCAGGACTCCTTCATCTCTAACCTTAGTATAGAACATTGGTGGTAGGTGATTAAGTGCTGTCGAGTCGAGTGATGCTGTATAGGGTTTTCAGGGCTTTAAATCTTTGCAGGGGTAGAAAGCCTCATGTTGCTCCCACAGTGGCTGGTGGACTTCAACTGCGGACCTTGTGATTTTTGCAGTCCATTGCTTATCTTAGTATAAAATACCATGTGTGAATGGCCAATTGTTACAACTGGTCACAGAGTTTTAAAATGTTGCCTTACGGCTGTGCTCTATTCTTATGAAATTCGCTAATAGTGCCAAAAATCTGTTTTTATAGCTTAAGAATTCTAAAAGGTCATTTGGTGCAGTCCTCTACTTCTTGAAAAGACCTGTGAGTTTTTGGACCGAGATGTGATTATAGAAGCAGTGCTTCCATTTCTTGGTCACAGCCTCGGTCAGTGAGGGTTTGATTCTTCGAATAATGAGTGTAATCATTGTTCTTAGAAAGATTGTTAAACTCTAAAGGCTTATGAAAGGCATGGTCTTTCTGCATCTTTGTGAGATTTTACACACCTCTGCAGGCTTTGACATTCTGACTGATATGATTGCCTCACATTTTTGTTAAGTGCCTTAAGATCCAGGTACATTTTTAAGAACAAATGTTCCCTTAAAAATTTTATAGACAGTTATTTCATGCTGTATTAGACTGATTCTTAACTGCACTTTGAAATATTTTCTTGTTTTAAGTTTATAGTACATTTTAGCAGATGTATTTTTGTAATGTCTTCGTCCTCCCAAAGTAGAAGCTTTTTATGTGATTTGTACCTTTTTTTAAAAAAAGAGAGTTATCTTAGATATTTTTCAGCCCACCGTTTCTTTGGTATTTGGAATATGCCTACTCCTCACATACTAGTTCTCGTTGTTTCGTGTTTGCAACAGTAGTAAACAGTCTACTGTGTGACCACTTTGTGTGTTAACTTGGCTTTCCTCCATGCATTCCGCATCCACCCATAAAGCCATCATGTCTGTCAGACTGGCTGCTGAAGCAGCCACTTCAGAAGGCAACTCGCTGCTCCCATCCCCACTGCGATGGAGTCGCCCTGATGAGAAGGGCACACAAATGGACAGGAGCAGGGAAGGTTGCTGCAGCTGCCCCCTTCTGCTCAAGGGCGTTGGCGGGGTCAACTCCTATAGCGGGATGAGTCCTAGGGTACCTCAGGGCCCAAAGGCTGCAGGAGAAGCTGGCTGCCCACCCTTTTTGTGGTCCAGGCTACTGAGCTTCTCTTCCCCAGCAGCTGTTAAAGACTCCTAAGTCATTTTCGTGGGGTCCTCCCGGACCTGAAAAGCAGCAGCAGGGGCTATGGAGGGGGCATCTACAGGGGCTATGGGTAGCAACCCCCAACGGCCATCTTGAGAGGAAAATTGCCTGAACCCCAGAGCCACCAAATGTGCTTCTAGTCCATTTGCAGAGCCCCAGGTCTACTCCAGAGCACCGCAGTGCCAGGAATAGCAGTTCTGGAGGTCCAGGCTCTGTGTCGCCTCTGCATCCTCCTCTTCTCATTGAATGCCTATATTGCATAATAACCTGATCTTTGGAACCTAGCCATGTTGATAAGCAAGGAGCTGGTGTAGAATTTCACTGTCATAGAAATGCTTGTCTTTAAAAGTACCTTAGCAGTACTGTTGCCAGCTCTGTGGAACCTTCCTGAATTATCTTTCCTGCAGTCTACAAATATTCTTTGTCAGCAGTAGAATAGCTCCACTTTCTTCTTTCTATTGAATAGATCCTTAGGCTTAGATATTTTTTTTTTAATTTCTTATCAAGTTAGTTTTATAAACCAACTTGAAAAATTACCTCTGAACTTTTGTATTACTTACATGAAGGAAAACATTGTTAGCATAGAAAGTTTTACTTTGACATTATATATTTAAGGGTTTTTTAATTAGTTGGACTGATTTTACTATCAAAGTATGTATAAAACCGCTCTGAATCTAGGCTTGTTTCTACTACAAGCCTCCTTTCAGTATATCCTGGATGAATGTGTACACTGCTGTCTGTGTTTGACATGGGGGAGATTTTCTCATCATTAGTGTTTACCTCTTTTTCTTTATTACTCTAATAGATTTCTGATGGAGTGTATTTGTTTGGTTTTTTGCTCTTAGTACTGTACTTCTCTGACCCATTAATTTTCGATTTTAGGGGAAATAACTCAGAAGATCACATTTGTTTTGGTAGTTTTCCTGTAACATGTGTAGGAACAGATTTATTTATGTTTCCTAGAATGCTTATTAAGATAAATTCTTGCTGGAGCTAGACCCTACACAATGTAGAGAGTCTTTTACAAATTTAAAAATAGAAAACACTTAATAGGTCTTTGTATTTAATAGTTACATAGTACTTAATATCATGCGCCATTTTCCACATAGTCCTGGTGTGGCACTGTGGGTTAATGTGCAAGACTGCAAAGCCGTTTGAAGTTGGCAGTTCAAGCTCACCAGCTGCTCCTCGGAAACCCTATACAGTGTCGCTATGGATCAGAACTGACTCGACAGCAGTAACAACAACAATAATTTTTATCTAAGCAAAGATTAATTTATACATTAGCTGACGTGATTTTTTTTTTTACTTCTTTATTGTAGTAGTTGTTGTTAAGTGTTGTCAGGTCGGTTCCTACTCGTAACAACCCTGTACAGGGTTTCCGTAGAGTGGCTGGTGAGCTTGAGCCGCCAATCTTGCAGTTCAAACCAACCTTGCAGTCCAGCGCATTAAACCACATCACCACTTCGATTCTTTAGTTTTTGCTGTTTATGAGGGTTATCTACCATTTAGAAGCACTTAGCTTTTCAATGTGGGCAAAGCTGCCTGTTACCTTTCCAGCAAACCTCCTGTTCTCTTTTTAACACGCGACTAGTCTGAGAGTATTATTCTGTTGAAATAGGAAATCTAAGAAGCTAGAGTCTGTTGTATACTCTCATAGAAATTCAAGTCAACAGAAGGAGAGATACAGACAGTCCCCTCAGCTAAGTCAGGAGGCTTTATAGATTTGCCACTTTAGAAGAAAATTATACATTGTACGCTTTCTATCATCTTAGATCCTCAGCTGGGTACTGTACAATACTACACATGTTTCCAAAGACTCAAAAACATTGAATTAGCCTTTTTCTGATGTTGACTTCAGCAGTGGCGATTTCTCAGCTACTTGATTATAATTTCTGGTACATAATCAACATGATTTTCAAAGTGTTTAATAGATAAAATATTGTAACTTGTTTTGTGTTTGTGTTTTTCAATATGCAAATTAAAAAGATACAAAAAGGTTGCAGTAAAAGCCTCCTTCTCCCCTGGGGTTCACAATCACCCTCTTTCTTTCCCTGGAGACAGTTTAGAATAATGTGTCCTTCATCATCAAATAAGAAAAAATTCTAAATAGCCTCATAAATTTCCACCCATATTTGCCTGTTCACATTTTGCAGAAATGAATGGTGACTGGCAAAGAGCTGATGCCGTCTGGAATAAAATACAGGAAGAAAATATCATTCCTCGTGAGAAGACATTAAGATTATTAGCGGAAATCCTTAAGAATAATAATCAGGAGGTTCCATTTGATGTGCCTGAGGTAATTTGATTTTTACTCAAAGCATTACAGGTTTTGTTTTCAGTAGAACTTTAGGATGTAGATTAGCCCAAATCAGTTTTATACTGAAAAGATCACTGTATTTGCCATTTGCTGTTTAACTGAACAATTGTGTTTTTAAGATGTGGTATGAGGATGAAAAATATCCCCTGAATTCTTCATCATCCTTACCAGTAGAAGTTAGTATCCAGAAAAACCTGTTGAAGGCTTGCCAAAAGAAGAAATCTAAAGGTGAGCATATGGGCATAAGTGTCTTTCTAATAGCAGAGTGGAATCTAAGGTCAAGAAAAGAGAAGCGCTCTAAATATAAATGGAACTTCAATTTTGTATATTAATTGTTTCTTTCATACTTTAAATTAGTAAATACATTTTGTAACACTTGGTAAAAGTTAAGTATTGAGTAAGAAGTAAGTGATACTAAGGAATTATTCTCGCTTTTATTGGCTCTGGCAATAGTATTAAAGTTTATAGGAAAGTGCCCTTAAATTCTAAGATCCATAGTAAAGTATTGAGAGAGGAGAAAAAAAATGTAGTGATTTCTGTACATAACTTATTTTAAGTAATACTTAACCCCAAAAGAACAAAGGTAAAGCATATCTGGGTTCCTGATGCTATTTCCCACCCTCCACCCCCAACTTTTTATTGTGAATTGAGTAAAGGTTTACAGAGCAGATCATATACTTTTCTTCATTGCAGTGATTTCAATCCCCTCCGTGTATCACCAGTGAGCTCCTCCAGTGTGACATTTCAGTTTGTAGTCTATCAGTTCCTAGAGGCTTCAGTACTGCTTGGACTCTTTCTTCAGGACACTTGGCTCTTGATCATATTCTACCACTTGAAATGGTTGAACATCGACCATTTCTTTTTGGTGCAGTGACTCTGTATGTTCTATCTTCTTTTGAAAGTAGCATGATCAAAAAAAGTTGAGGCAAATATAACTTTCATTTGAAAGTGAATAGTGATTAAGGCATTAACTACCACATTAGTGTATGTTGCAGTTGTTAAGCCTGTGTCTCAACTTAGAGATAGGACATGAGCCATGTTTCTTGCTCTGCTTCCCTGTCCCTTGTGGTGAATCTTCCTAAAGCTGTCTGTTGACCACTTTAAATTATTTTTGACTGTCTTTAACCCTCTGGTGTATGCTTCCTTGGCTTAATTCTAGGTATTTTCATTAGACTTTCTTGTACCCTCCCCAAATCACAGGTTACTACTCTCATTCCCTTATATTTGTTCATTTTTCTCCATAGTGTGCTACCATTATTTTTATGTCTTTCAGTTTTGTGTGGATTTTGAGTACATTTTATGATAATTTAACGAGGAAGTAAATGTAGCAAATAATGTATATACATTTGTTCAACTTTTTATTGCTACTTGAGTTAAGGTTTACAGAGCAGATCATCAGTTTTACAATCAACAGGTCATGTGGTTTGTTTCATCCCAATGACTGTAGTCCTCTCAGTGTAGCTTCACTTATCCCACTTCCTCCTGTGTTTCTTGTTTCCATTCCTCTTTTCCCAACCCTTCTGGATTGATCTTTGGGTAAATGCTGTCTTTTTGGTCTTGAATGGTTGACCATTTTTTGTTTATACCTCATTAATGTTGTCCCCTATCTATTGGTTGACTGAAAATTAAGCCATAGGGATGAGTTCAGTTTCAGAACTGAAGGGTGACCAAGAACCATAGCCTTGGAGTTCTATTAGTCTCTATATTATAGTAACTGGAGTCTCTCTGATGATACTGAGTTTTGTGTGTTCCACATTTTCTCTTACTTTATCGAAGGCCTTCTAAAGTGATCCCTTTCTGAGCAGTTGGTAGTGCTAGCTGGGAACAGGTATTTCTTCTGATCTTAGAGTCATGGAGGTAGAGGTTCCCTTGATCCATTAGTTCATTGGACTAATTGTTTCTAAGCATCTTCAATTTTTATCCCTCTTCTTTCCTCGTTAAATGGTTGCTTATAAGATCCCAGTCACTACTAACCAAAGTAGACTGTATTGTCTTTGTGGATTACGTTACACCAGTTGACTGTGGGATCCCCTGAGACTATGGTCCTGAGTCCTCGAACCCAGCATCTCATTTTACCTCAAGGTGTTTGGTAATGTCTAAGAAGTTTTCATAACTTTGCCTCCTGTATTTACAACTCTCCTTCCCATACTTATTCAGCCTGTATGTCTATCGATGCATCTATCCATATGTTGTTGAGTGCTGTCGAGTCGTAGCAACCCTGTGTAGGGTTTCCGAGGAGCAGCTGGTAGGTTTGAACTGCCGACCTTGGGGTCATCAGTCCACTGCTTATCCTATAGTGCCACACAAGGACTGCCTACCCATACATAGATAATTATTGTAGGATTGTGTATAGAGCAATGTTTACCTCTGTTGCCTTTAACTCTTGCACTCTTCCCAGTGTCTTTCTAATAGTCACATTTAAAAACATGCATGATTGCAAATTCCGAAGCACAAAAGCAAGAAGTTCTTGATTTGATGAGTTTCATGAATTGATAACTTCATTGGCAGTCATTTTCTCTCCCAAGTATTTTAACTGTCATCTTGGTTAAAGCTAAATATAAAATTAGCTATCTATATCAATTTCATTAAACTTTCTAATAAAAGTTTTATGTAAATAATATGAATGTAAGGTTAATGCAGAGTTTTAAAATAGTTTAAAGGTCTTTATATGCTTTATATACCAGGGGGCTTCAAAAAGTTTAAGGAAAAATGGAATTAAACTTTTGAAACCCTCTTGTATTGCCCTTTTTAGAGTTGTTCTTATTGATCATTTAACATTTAACTAAATATAGTATTTGCATATAAACATATATTTATTATAAGTCTTCATTCTGTTTTTAATTTAAAATGATCTAATTTCATCCTGTTAATTTTTCATTTTTTAGTTACTTCTCAGAATTTGGCTATTTAGCCAAATATGACTTTAGCAAAATATGAATGACTGCCTTGAAAATTATATATATGCATTAGCACTGTAACAAATTTCCAATAGTTTGATCTACTTAATGAGGTGGTATTACAGTTTTCACAGCAGAAAAAACTAGAGGTGAATGGATTCAGTAGATTACAGTGGTAACTTTTTTAAAAAAAAATAAAGGTAATAATAAAGACTGCCTTTCCAATTTGATGTGAAGAGCATGGTTTTAAAATTATATTTACTTTATATCCTTATTCACCAAACCAGCCAAATTTTACATGTTTATTAGTAAGTAGACAATAATTGCATTGCAGTTCACCTAATTCTTTGCCTCTTTACATGGAAAATTGTATTTACTGAGTGATAGCAGTTTTGTTACTGTGTGCCAGGAGTTAAAATATTTTGTTTAGCAGTGATGTTCTGTTACTTTAACAAGTAAGTAAAACATTGTTTTTGAATTTATAATGGATTGGTACTGATACTCAATTGAAATATGAATTTTTAAAATTACAAAGTATTTGAATACACTGAATAGACTTGGTGGTTGATGGAGTAATCAATAAATAATAGTTGAATTCTTTATTGAATGTTTGTCTCCATTTTTTATCAGTCTACTTTTTGCCAGTGTCCTGGAAGATAGAGTATTCACAAACAAAAGTCTTACTACAGGGCACTTGGTAATTAAAGTTCTGAATGACTTATTTCAATTTGATTAATCTGTGCCATTTTCACTTAGTCAAACTGGTCTCCTCAGTTAAGTTGTTGGTACTGCCATCGAGTCAGTTCCGACTGTACAAGGTTTCTGAGGAGTGGCTGATGGGTTTAAACCCCCGACCTTGCGGTTCAAACCAGCCTTGAGATCCAGTGCTTTATCCTACAGTGCCATACCAAATAGATTATCTTTTTTTCCCCCCCTAAATTTAACTTGAAGGGATACATTTTTAAGATTGCTACTTCAGTTTGAAGGGCTAATGCAAACTCCTCTGCCCCCTAAGAGAACAAGCATAGTAGTTTCTTCTTATTCAGAAATTGCTAAATTAGCTTCTGATGTTCTTCTGAACATTAGATCACATTTGTTCCTACCTGTGTGTTCTCTATTTCTTTACATTGAGTCATATATTCACAGAAGGTCCTAGGTGATCTGTCCGTTATGCACCCCCTCATTTATTAGGATTAGTTTATGCACACAAGAGAGTGGCTTGTAGTTTCAGTTGGATGTTTATAGCCACACCATTTTATTTCAGAAAACGAAGTGACTGAGAAGTGTAGTTACTTCTCTTTTGGTAACATCTTTTCAGTCACTGACAGTTATTGTGAACGAGTGAAATAAAACTGTTAATCAGTCAAACAAATGTTGCTTAGTTTACTTGTTAGATATCTGTATGTTTGAAAATTGTATGTTTTTGTATAAGTCCTGTCGTAGCCAAATAATTTGATCTCCTAATTTTAGAATTATAGGCTATATTCACTTTAATGCTGTTGTGCTGAAATGTAAACCATTCTGTCCACCCACTTATAGATTAAAGATTGCTTTAAAGTGAATCTTTTGCTCCCCTCCATCTAAATTAAACCTCTGGCTTATTTGGACTTTAACACATATTTTTCTATTTATTTTGAAACTGGTATCATCTTTTGACAAACAGATTGAGAAGAGCTATGTCTCACTTTTACTGGCATGAAAATAATGTATTTATGAAAGCTAGTGTGAAAAATCATTTTAAAAGGAAGCCTTTCCAGTTATCATCTGTCTAGTTCAATTAAGAAATTGTTTCTTAGAAAGTCTTTTAAACATTAGGACAGTGAGAAGATCTGTTTGCTGAACCTACGTGTATGTCTTTATAAAGTGATAAGGATGGGTGAGTATTTCCCCAAAAAAAGAGCAAACCAGAAAAATATGTGAATTTGGGGTTTGTTTTATTTTTCTTTCCCTCTTTGCCATTCCCAAATAGCTAATTTTTGGTTGTTTTTTTCCTGGTAGATGCATATAATATTTTCCTGAAAGCACAAAATCAAAATATTGTATTTGACAGTGAAACTTACGGCAGTCTTATACAATTACTGTTGTTGAAGGATAGTTTCACACAAGCAATGCAAGTGAAAAATATGTAAGTATCATACTTACAGTCAATTTATTCCACCTCTTCCTTTAAAAAAACATTAGCAATTGTTAGCATTTTTCTAATGCTGTATTACTATAGTGGACTGCTGATTTTCTCCTACCCCGAAAAATCATGTGAAATGGTTAGCCAATTTTATGGAATTTTTTTAACTTATAAAAAAGTAAAACCTTTCTTGGCTCTTCACTGTGTCTTATTAAGCAACTAGTGCTATGTATACCTTTTGTGGTAGTGGGAAGGGGGGTGGGCAACTTGATCTAAAGAAGACATGGAGGGCTTTTAACTTAAACCAAGAACTTTAAAGTTAAATCTGTGACCTTGGAGAAATTACCTACCATTTCTGAGTCTCAATTTTGGTCCTATATGATGAACAGATTATGATATGATAGGTATGCATTGCTTAACACCCAAACTATATTCTGGGGAAACAGACCACTGTGTGTCTTGGACATTATGCAAACACTTCATTATATATAGTATATTGTTATCATTGTTAGTGCCCTAGAGTTGGTTTTGACTCATAGCAACCCTGTATGGGGTTTCTGAGACCTTTAAATCTTCAAGGGAGCTCATCTTTCTCCCACAGAGCTGCTGACAGGTTCAGACCATGGACCTTGTAGTTTGCAGTCCAATACTTATTGTCTGGAGCTCCCACACTCCTTATATAGTATTGCTGTTGTTATTAAGTGCTGACTCATAGCAACCCTTTATAGGGCTTCCAAGGAGCAGCTGGTGAGTTTGAACCACTGACCTTTGGTTCAAACCAACTTTGTGATCCAGTGCTTTGTCCTACAGCGCCACACCAGGATTCTCCTATAATAGTGTGTTTGTGATATATATACACACATATCTAAGTGACCCTCGTGCAAGCTGCTAACTCTTACTTAGCACCAGAGCCACGGGGCTTGCAAACTTGCTCCTCCAATTTGCTGCCTCTCGGCATATGGCACTGGGGCCTGGTTGGAATTGGAAGCGCTAAGTGAAGGAACTAATCAGTAAATACCCAGCAGCACCTCCTCGCGGGCACCAGCCTGTGGGACATTCACACGGGGTATGGGACAGTGGTATCCATGGGAGATTCATTGCTGTGGCCAAGCTCTGGAAGCCAAGCCACAGATACCATAGGCCAGACCTTTTAAGCAAGCCCGTCTTCCCCTCATCATGGTATATGGGTAAGATGTTTCTCAAATGGACGTTACATGGCAATACATGTAAGTATATAAAAGGTTGCATCTAGGTACTATAGGAGATATATAAAGCATAGGTGTTCAATACATTTTAGATGCTGTTGGCGTTTCTTCTGCTGGTATGGTTTGTTTTCCAATTTGGTGGGGGTGAGGGGAGATATTTGGTGGTGGTGATTATTATTCACTCCTTGTGCAGTGTTGTCGGATAAGCACTCGACTGCTAACTAACCACAAGAGCAGAGGTTCAAACCTACCAGTACCTCCTCGGAAGCGCTGTTTAGTGTCACTATGAGTCAGAACCAACTTGATGGCACTTAAAACAACAATTTATAGATGAAGATATTTTGCTTATCAGAACAAGCATACAGGCCTAGTACCTGGTATGCCGGCTACCCTTGCTGTGTTTGCTGTCATATTTTCAAAGAGCTATCTGGGAAGCTTGAATTATTAATCAGAAAGGGGCCTAGAGAACGGGAGATCAGGCTTTAGAACTTAGACATTTACTGCTGATAGCTCATTAGCTTTCTTTTCAGCGAGAAACTAATATGTTGAGTTCTGAAAGAACTTCTTTTGTCTGGTTTTGGGTTTTTTAAATTTTTAAGCCCCAGTACTTTTGAAATATAATCCTGAGCAGAAAGTGGACGTTTGCCATTCAAGTCACTGAAAAATCTGGTGATATATGAAGGGGCTTCAAAAAGTTCATGGAAAAATGGAATTGAAAGGTAATTGAATTTTCCCAGGAAGGTTTTGAAGTCTCCTCATACTAAAGTGTCATAGGTAATATATATGCTGTCTGTGTTTCAGTAATGCATGAGTAAGCAGTCACTCATTACAAAAATGGGCTGTGTGTCTTTTGGTTTGTGTGGATCTTGAATCACAGTTTGTATGTTTTTATAATGGGACAGGTTTAATGCACTGTGTATCTTATTTGTATTTTTGTGATTGTTAGCTGCCGCCAAGTCAGCTCTGACATAATGGTGGACACCCCCC